TTTATATTGTATTCGTGATGGAAGTGAGGTGGTGAGCGCAGATATTGAGGTGGTGAGCGCGGTTATTGAGGTGGTGAGCGCAGTTATTGAGGTGGTGAGTGCGGTTATTGAGGTGGTGAGCGCAGTCATTGAGGTGTGCTAATTAACTTGAAATTCAGTGTTAGAAAATAAACGAAAACATTTTTAATTAAAACAATTAGCGAAATACGTGGAGACGTAGAGCGATTTCAGAATAAATGAAATACCGATCTGTCTATCTATCTCTCTATCTATGGCTCTACAGCCCTTTCTTGGGCCTTGGCCGCTTTTTTCAGTCTCTTGATCTTTTTACACCGTAGGTAAAACTCCTTGGACGGGGGATAAGCCCGTCCTAAGACCACTACCTGCACGCAGGACATCACAAACACAGAATAAAAACACAGACATTCATTCGTTGAGTGGGATTCGAACCCACGATCTCAGTGTTCGAGCGGTCGAAGACAGTTCATGCCTTAGACCGCTCGGCCACTGTGAACGGCAAATGAAACACCTACAGATAGCAATATAACTTTATTCAGTGTTTATGAAAGCTATGTACGCCTACATTCATAAGCTCACAAACGTCTTAGTTACTGTCGGTGCCTGACAGATGGCTTGATCGTCAAACGGTCTCTTGATATAATTTGATAACATTTGTGTTTAGTTTTACTTATACAATTGTAAGGTCTAGTATAGGAATATACACGTACAAGTGCATTTGCTTTCGACATTGGCAAAACAATGAAGTGACGTAGTAGACAGCACGACTGCTTTTGGTCATTGTTCGTAGAAGAGTGTTTTGGCGCCACATTTACCTAAAGCATTTATAAAAATACGGGAAAGCGAGGGCAGAACGGAAGGACTTGAGAAGTGATGATACGACTCACATATGCGATAAAAGTGGTGAGAAAGGAATGTAGGAAAAGAAGAGACGAAGATAAAGCTGTGATAATTCATTTATGAAATGAAGTGACTGTAATTTTTAACAGACATCATGCTACAATTTACACACGAACACAAACACTAATCTACAGAGCAGATACTTAGAAGCTGATAATCTCTAAGCCAATCATGAAATTTGTAGGACAAGAATGGTGAATTACTGTGAGTTTTAGTGCGATACTCAAGTTGAATATAATTGTAAAGTATTCTAAGTGGTCAACAAGTGTGATGTTCTAATGAAAACAATACTTAATTACTTACTTATTCATGGAGCTGAGCCCTTCTGGAGGAGCCGCCAGTTCTGCAGCTACTCAAGAATTTCCTAGCATTTTATGGAACCCGAAGGTTCATCATCGTGTTCACAAGAGCCCTCCTGAGCCAGATCTATCCAATACATACCATCCCAACCTATCTCTCTAAGATCCATTCTAATATTGTCCACCCACCTACGCCTTGGTTTTCCCTATGGTCTCTTTCCTTTTAGCTTTCCCACCAACATCCTATACGCATTCCTCGTCTCCCCCATTTGTGCTACATGACCTGCCCACCTCATCCTCCTTGACTTGATCATTCTAATTATACTTGGAAAAGAGTACAAGTTATGAAGCTCCTCATTGTGCAGTTTTCTCCAACTTCCTGTGACTTCATCTCTCTTTGGTCCAAATATTCTCCTCAACACTCTGTTCTCAAACACCCTCAGTCTATGTTCCTCCCTTAATGTCAGAGACCAAATTTCACACCCATACAGAACCACAGGCAAAATTATAGTTTTGTATATTCTCATTTTTATGTTTTTGGACAACAGACGAGAAGATAAAAGGTTCTGGACTGAATGGTAGCAAGCATTACCCGAGTTCAATCGCCTCTTAATTTCTTCCTGAATCAGGTTTCGATCTGTTATCGTTGTTCCCAAATATCTGAACTGTGCCACATTTTCAAAATATCTGTTTCATATCTTTATGTCATGATTTTGCTCTGCATTTTGGTGACGAGACAGTAACATACACTTAGTTTTCTCTGTGTTTACTTCTAGACCAACCTCTTTACTTGCGTCAATTAAAGTTTGTGCGTTTAAAGAAAACAATAATGGCACTCTAATTTATTCTTAATGCCTCACAAAAAGGATAAAGGAAACAAAATCGGCTCATAACATGTTCCTCAGACTGCTTTATGGTGAAGGTTGTAACGGGAGAACCGTTACAGGATTTTAAGGCTCTCAAAACTTGTTCTTTTATGAGACAGGTCATGATTAAAAGAAAAAATGTCTGCAGTTGTCCTTGATACTCCTGAAGCAATGATAGTGGGTTCCATGTTGAACCTCTCTGTCTCTCTTCAATTTCCTTTCAAATTGCCTAGAACGATGACTGATCTCACACACACACACACACACACACAAAGCAAGATACTATTTTTTATGGAAGTCCAATAAGTATTGCCAAAGATTGTACCACGCCCTCGAAAACCCAGATCAGCACAGCGCTGCCGTGTTTATACCGTCATGCTGCAAGTATTACGACACCTCTGTAGCAGCACCATATAAACCAATTCGTTTCAAGAAATATTAATTTATTTCAAGATGCTACAGCCATGGATATATTTATTATTAATATTGCTCATGTGTCATACATTCAGTTTATTATGCAGTTG